CCTCACAGGTTTCTCAAAAGACGCTTAACCATGATCACCCTCCTTACCGCATATTAATTCACCCGGCATTGACAGTCCGTTCAATTCGAAGACATGTGTTCCTAACACATCTGTCAGTTACATGACATGTCTCAGGAACTAGCCATCGCAAATTAAGAGGTCCATGAAGCGAATTCCACCAAACTCCAATCAAACATTAAGATGACATCTCAATTTTTAATAACAATGAAACTTCATCAAAATAATCCTTTGAGTTAGTTTGCTATTATAGTTGTAAACAGCCACAGTGATATAGCTACTTCTGACTTCTCTAAATTCTACTTCTTAGAAGAATCATAAGGATAGAGAAACTGGTCCTTATTTTGAAAGCCCCATTCGAGATATCACGTCTAATCACTCTTCGGCCGCTTCAGAAAGATTTATAAGTCATTCATCTAGTGGGCCTGCGCATGGACTGCACAAAAGTAAGACCCGATAAAACATTTCAACGAACCTCCTTATCCCCACAAAGTCTTAAAACAATCAGGTCTTCCACCCCCAGTAAAATGCTCCCGGTGAACCTTTTAGCTCTGTTGGCAGAGCGGTGGCTTTTTTCAACCCTTCCTTTGTTGAAGCGGGTTCGAATCCCACCCAGGTGGCGAACTTTGCACAATTGGATCAATTTAAATACTTTATATGAATTGATTTCCTACAAACTACCCCACGCAAAATGCGCTAGAGACGGTTATTCTGTGCCTGTAGTCAAATAGAATCCAAAAGGTTTTGATAGGAGATTCGCTGTTCAAAATCTTATTGACCGCAAGCGCTATCGTGTAGGGCTCAGAGCCAAAGTGATATACTTTTAAAACAGGAAACCATCCGTTCAGTGGAAAATAGGTTCAGCAAATCCTGTGAACATTTCTAGAGGAGAAATTATATACCTGAAATCTTAACCGTTGTAGATAATGGATCTCGGGTGCAGAGCTTTTATTGATCCATTCTAACAAAATGATAGAGTCCAGCTTTTGTCTTTAAGGAGAGCCAGATATACACATTGGATTGGCTAGATTATTATTATTCAATTTTAAAATATTTGTATCTTTGGAGGTGTG